TCCTCTCTGGCCATTGGCCATGCTTGTTGAGGTTGGCATGAGTTTCACTTCAGCAATATCTAGAGGGCCAAAAGTTCCCCATCCCTGATGTGAATGGAATCTGAAGCAGCCCTGAGGTATTTCAGAGCAGACGTTTTCACAACACTTTTACTGCCAAGAACCTGTCCCAGCCTTCCCTAACAGGGGAAGATATTTTGGACCACAACTTCTATCAGTCCCAGCCAACACAGTTGCAGATATTTGTAGCACAAAACATCTGGAGGGCACCAGGCTGGAGAAGGCTGGACAAACAGACCTCTCCTTGCTCTAAATGCAGAAGCTGACTGAACACACATTTGAATCTTGCTTCAGGACTGAGGACGGGACAGCACCCCCACCATACCTTAGGGCAGGGTTTCCCAAACTTGGCTCTCCAGCTGTTTTTGGACTACAATTCCTATCCTCCCTGACCACTGATTCTGCTAGCTAGGGATTATGGGAGTTGTAGTCCAAAAATAGCCGGAGACCCAAGTTTGAGAAACCCTGCCTTAGGGCATCAGGCGCAGTGCAGGTGACCTGGCACAGCCAGTTCTGTCATCTTGAACACTAGGCCACTGTTTATTCTCCACTCCACCTGGTGCCAGTTTGCCACCCACTCAAACTAAATGACTAGGTTGAGGAAGGTTAATTGCACCTCCCCCCACCCAAGAAGTTCAGAGTTATATGAAGAAGGCTCCCAGAGTCCCCCCATCCAAACTCAGGTGACACATGGCATTTAGTCAGGTACGTTTCCTTGATTGTTGTTATTATTTTATGAGAAGCACATGTGAGAGGCAGCAAACTTCAGCAGAGCTGGAGGGAGGTTCTTAACCCATTTATTCTCTGACTTTTTTTCCATTTAAAAATCACCTAACCAACTAAAGATCTGTGAGGGGGGAAATTCAGGATGTGTGTTAGCAGCTTCGAAGGTTTGGGACTGTTACCTGTAGGGAATGGACACAGCACATTGCACTGCATCCAGAAGGTCCCAGGTTTGACCTTTGGCATCTCCAGATGGGTCTGGGATTGTCCCACCCCCTGATGGACTAACGTTCTGACTTAGTTTAAGACAGGTTTCTATCCTGTAACTTTTCATGTTAAAAGTGATGCCTTGCAACATATATTGTGGCCTGAGACAGGAGGACAGCTTTGCTTTGCAGAAACTAAGCAGCACTCTACATCCACAACCAGCTTTTATAGACAGCAGCTGTGTATTGACCTGCTCATCAGCTTCAAAATATATACAACACACACACACACACCATCAAAATCTGTCTCAGTCCCCACCCCTAAAAAAAATATAAATTCTCTGCAATACTTTCAGTTTCAAAGCCCAAATTACAGCCTAGTGCTTCGAAGTGATTCTGGATAGAAACTGACAAGCATCAAAAGAAGAATAATCAGCCCAATATTCATTCTCCCAACCCAATGAAGTGGAAATATAATCTATTAGCATCAGTGGTGAAAAGTAAATTAGATTTTTAACCTGTTCCAGTTGTTGTTGGTTTTTCCCCCTTTTAAAGTATTTTGATCTTTAAACCAACAGCTGCCTTTTAAAAGCTTGATTAGATGAATAGAAGCACATAGCCCCATGGAAGGCAGGAATTAAACCACAAGGAAATAAAATCCTAATAAGCTTTAACAAGCATGATTCATATATGACTAAATTATGCACCTTTCCCCCTTAATGCCTTTGCTAAACAAGTTTGCCCATTTTCTTTAAATTAAATTAAATATGGCTACTACATATTATAGCATTATTTAGTGCCAACAAGAGGAATGGCACAGAACTTGTGTGCCACACTGGTCTGCTTCTTGCGGGTTTTTGACCCCATTTGAAACAAGCCAGGCTAGGATGGATGGAGGATTCAGATAAACCACAAGGGGAGGCTAGGAGGCAGTGATGCAGCTAAAGTGGAGGTAAAGATAAAGCAATGCAGAAATGGTTAGCCTTGAGGACAGCAAAACAGCTTCTTTTCCCTACCTGGCGAAATCCAAGGAGCAGAGAGGAGGGAGGGAGGGCCTGATGAATATATTTAGCTTACACAACTTCCTTCAGGGTAATGAAAGGACCAGTCAGACCCAAGAGATCTACAAAGGCTCATGTGGAGCTAGGACTTTTGCTTGTGCTCTGTCCAGGGTCCTGAATGACACCTCTAGTTGCATTTGTTCTCCAAAACAGAGTTCTCAACCCATGACTGTAGAAATCCATTCCTGCTCTTTCTATTTATCTCCTGCTCTCGTTGTCTGCATCCAACCCCTGTTGGACAAGCTTCTTCCAAACCCTGCCAGGGGTCAGCCTCCCTTTTAATTTTCTTACATTTTTCTTACGCCAGCTTTGCATAGCAAGGTAAGAAACTGCCTCATGTCAAGTCAAATCACTGGACCTGCTAGCTCTGCATTATGATTCTCCAAGTCTCACTCAGGAGGACTTTCCTAGTTCTACCTGGAGATGCTGGGGGTTTTCTGCATGCAAAGTGTGTGTTGTAGCAGATGTGCTGAGCTACAGCTCTTGGCTTTACACCTTCAGCAAGTAAGGAACATGCTAAAACAGGGGTGGGGTAACCTATGTCTCTTCAGATGCTGTCAGACTACAACTCCCATCCTCACCCTGACCGTTGGCCATGCTAGCTGGGGCTGATGAGAGCTGAAGTACAACAACAACTGGAGGGCTACAGGCTTCCTGTGTTAAGAATATAGCATGCATCCACTTCTGCCTTATAACATGCAAAGTGGTGGCAGACCTCACTACACATGCCACAGCAGGGATAGAGAACCTTCAGTCCAGGCATCTCTTTCTGGCCTGCAGGACTCTCTTGTCCTCACACCCCTCACTGGCCCCACTTTGCACCTTCCTTGTGTGATTTTGCCAGGCTGGTGATTCAGATTATGCTTCTTGCTTACTTGGATGAAGCATAGAGACAGAGGTGTGTGTGTGTGTGCGTGTGTGTGTGTGTGCGCGCGCGCGCCTACGGTACAAAGTTAAGATTAACATTTATTACTCTGCCTGGTTTTGCTTCTAGCCCTGCCTGCTACTGACATGTGGCCCCTGGAAGGCTGCACATAAAACAACAGCAACAAACACAAAAAGATTTCTGTACAATTTGGAAGCCTTACAAACAAGCAATACTATAGAGTTCTGATATACCTTTTCCTTGTTATTTATGCATCAGCCCTTTCTTGTTGGGGGATGTTCTAATAATGTCCTGCTTTTATGATTTTCTGCTGTATACCCTCCACCTCCTTTAATATACCTACACAAAGAGCTCTCTTAGGTGGAACCAGAGCAGTGGCTTCTTTCTGGGACTACATGTAAGTGGTTAAAGCTTTGCTAGTCTGAAAGGAAGGAAGTGGGGTACAATAGAGCACATGAGATCAAGTGTCATCATAATTGAAGAGCACCAGCTCATTTATGGTACCCAGAGTGGGCAGTGGAGAAGAGAACCGAAGATGCTTAAGTGGCATGATAAAGAGCCTCTTTGATGGGTCATCTTTTAGCACAACTCTGCTGCTATGTGGATCTGCTGCACAGGGTGAAGTTGCACCCTCTAATTAGGAATCATATTTATAAACTAGCTACATGGCAGAATTGTGGAAGGATGCTGGGCACTGCCTCCTTTCATTTATTACTCTGCCATAAATCAACAAGACCACCATAAAAATGAGATTACTATAAAAATCTATGCCTGCACTTAAAAAGCCCTTCTTACAGAATTCAAAAGCTCAAACTGAGAAATGGAGGGAAATGTCTTGTAGCACCTCATATATCAGCAGGGCAGCTCTTCAATGACACAAGGACACAGCAAAATCCATTAAATCAAAGCCCATAGCCACACACTTTTACTATTATGCACATAGGTGTTACTTGTATGGCTCAGACATGCTTCCCAAAAGCAAAACATGGGCATTTGCAACACTCCTCATTCTAAACTATGCTTATTATGGTCCTTGGAGGAAGGAGAGGCTAAAATATTATATGAACAAGGGTTCCACAAAGATTCACCTGGTTTGAATCAAGCTGTCTCAATGGGACACCTGGAGACAAGTGTTGGGTATACAAGATGTGTGTGTTTAGCCTGGGGAAGAAGGCTCCACGTGTTGGGACAATGGTGAGTAGTCAGAAGGAGAAGAGGGAGCAGACCAGGAAAAGGAGGTGTTGGAAGCTGAAGAGGTAACAGAGTTTAGTGAGTAAGAAGAGGGTGTAGCAGAGAGCAGAATTAGGCAGAAGTGGAGGCTGCAGAGGAGGGAGGATGGGAGGCAGAGTGGAGGCAGGCTGTGGAAGAAGACAGGGAGCTTCTCCCTTCTCCTGCTCCCCTCCTCCCTAATCACCCAGAACATGAAGAGGAGTGAAGAGGGTGGAGCAAAGAAAGAGACGAAGGCGCCTCAGATTGCTGGGGGAGGAGTCTTAGAGAGCAGTGGGAAGGAGGGGGCCTTCAGTCCTTGCAGCAGCCTCAATGGGGCAAGACCTACTGGGTCTTCCTACTGGGAAGAGTTGCTGTGATCACTAGTCCTGAGCTGTTTTTGTTTCTTTCAATGAAGTTTAATTTTATTATGTTTACATCCTGCCTTTCCTCCAAGGAACCAAAAGCATCCTATATATGGTTCCTAAGCAGCCTCCCATGTAGGCACTGGGTAAATCTAGACCTGCTTGGTTACAGCAAGATGGTTGCATCAGGAGCATTTGGATCAGGTCCCCAGACTTTTGCTTGATAAGTGACTCAGCTCCATCAGGATTTGTTAAACAGCAGACGATAATATGCACAAAAGAGGCGTCTTCTCTCCTCTTCCCACCATAACATCTTAGGCAGCTTACAAAAGGGGTGGGTCAAAAGCAAAAGTTGGGAATTACTTGAAGACCTTTGCATGGTCCGCAGCAGAACGCCAAAGATTTCCACTCCCCATCCCCATTTCTTAACAATTACAAGAACTGTTCTTCCAAAATAAGGCTGGCGAAATGAAAAAAAAAGGCAGGGATTACTCACAGCTCTGTCCACCACATTACTGCTTGCTCAAGTGTCTGTCTGCTTATTGCTCACTGCCTGTTTAAAGAAGTGCTGCAAGACAGCAATGGTATCACCAACACGTGTCACACGAGAAGAGCAGTGCCTCCAATCACAGCCTGGGTGTCTGCCGTTCCATCAAGCGCTTTTCTCAAGTGTGCTCTTCATGAGATACTGGGAGAAAGTGAGGAGGTGAGATATCCAGCTCGCCCAATAACAAGTAAGCTTTAGTTCCTGCTTGCAGGCTTCCCATAAAGGGCATCTAGTTGGCTGCTGTGAGAGCAGAATGCTAGACTAGATGGGCCACTAGCCTGACCCAGCAAGCTTTTTTGTTCTAAAGTAGTTATTGTTGCAGGGGCACCAATTCAAGAGGAGTGGAGTAGGATGACCAATGATAGGTCTTAGGTGGAAAAAACAGGGGTTGGACTATCATTGCTACCACAGCCTACAGCATCTGTTACCAGAAGTGGCCATGTCACTGCCTAATGGTAGGGTTGGTCTTGCACTTTGAGGAAGATCAAAAGAAACAGGCACACTAAAATGGGAGCAGGCAATTTTTGCTATATGATCTTGTCAACAACTGTTTATGTTGCTTGTACAGATGAACAAGCCCTGATGCAAGACTGGAAGTAGGTTTCACACTGAATGACCACAGCATCAACAGACCTGTAGGCTTGTGTTATTTACTAAGTAAATCCCATTGATTTTCATTTGACAGTATGCCATTTTGAATGGCATTTGTTTATCATAAATAGTGTGCATGGGATTACATCCTTAATTGCATAGATGCCATTAGCCAATCGATTTTAGCATTCTCCTTCCAGTAAGTGCTTATCATGTTTAAACCCCTGAATGACACAGCCCCCCAAATATCTGAATGACCACGTCCTTCCCTGCAGATATACTGGGTGCTGAGATTGGTAGAGAAGGACCTCTTGGTGGTTCCTCCACCCTCAGAGGCTCAGTGGGTTGCAGTCCAGGAAAGGGCTATGGAACTTCATTCCCACAGAAGTGTATCTGGCAAGTTCATCATACAGATTTGGAGAATGCTGAAGACACACCTCTTTGCCCTGGATTTTGATACTTAGCATGTATATTTTAAGGACACACCTTATTTTTGTGGTTGTAAATTGTTTTTAATTGTTTTTAATATTGTGTTGTAATTCTTGTAATTGTGTTGTAATTCATCACCACCACCACCACCATCATCATCTTCAACTTAAAAAAACTGTGCAGTCTGATCACTTAGCAAATGCAGGAACTGTATCTGAAGTATGCAATGCAATAACTTTTATGTAGGATTATTTATTACAACAGCAGTCATAAAGAAGAAACGTGAAGCACAGAGAAAAAAAATGAGATATACAGGTTAAATTGCCATTTTGGCACTTTGCGATAAATAAGTGGGTTTGGAGTTGCAGTTTGGGCACTTGGTCTCTAAAAGGTTCGCCATCACTGCCCTAGGCTGCTCCACTTGTGAGGCCCCTCCCCATCCCCCACCCTCACAACTAGAAGAAAATGGAAGAGTGTCATAAACAAAACTGAGTGAAGCCAAAGATGATGGCGGGTATTTAAAATTCTGCAATTCACAATTTCTCCTCTAAAGGACGTAAGATGTTATTGTTAAAAATCATGGTGATTTTTTAAAAATGCATAAAATTAACACTGAAAAACATTTGCAATAACTGAACTTTGTAAACCTTTTGTGGAATAAGCATTCATTTTTAGGAAAATAAAGTTGTAATGTTATTCTTAAAAAAAACAACACCTTGAGTTTACAAAATATATTGCCTGGGAAGTGTAAATAATATGACCATGATTACCTGACAATGCGGCACTTTTAGAATCTACTTTATGTTGCCATTAAAAAGTCAGTTTTAAAATACACATTAAGAAGTAAACTACAACCCTCAAATACAGTAAGGCTAAAAAAAAATTTCTAGCCTTCCTCATAGCAAAATCACCCAAAACTTCATCAAAATTTGTTTGTCTAAGTTTGTCACTTTCAGTGTACATAATGCTCAGTGCGGACAACCTCTCTTGAAACATTGTGGCCCTTAGTTCATTTTTAATTCTTTTGAGTCTTGAAAAACTCCTCTCTCCTGAGCAGTTAGTGACCATAAAGCTAAGAAATAATCATAATCATAATCATAATCATAATCATAATAAATTTTATCTATATCCCGCCCTCCCCAGCCGAAGCTGGGCTCAGGGCAGCTAACAACAATCAAAATAATCCAACATTCTAAAAACATTCATTATAAAATTAATTAAAATCAAATTGATGGCAACCATTAAGGAAAATTCTGTGCAGATTGCCAGAGGAGGGGGTCAGGCTGCACCCTGACCAAAGGCCTGGTGGAACAGCTCTGTCTTGCAGACCCTGCGGAAAGATGTCAGGTCCCGCAGGGCCCTAGTCTCTTGTGACAGAGCGTTCCATCAGATTGGAGCCGCAGCCGAGAAAGCCCTGGCTCTAGTTGAGGCCAGCCTAACCTCTCTGTGGCCTGGGATCTTCAGGATGTTTTTATTTGCAGACCATAAATTTCTCTGTGGGACATACCAGGAGAGGCAGTCCCGTAGGTACGAGGGTCCTAGGCCGTATAGGGCTTTCAAGGTTAAAACCAGCACCTTAAACCTGATCCTGTACTCCACCGGGAGCCAGTGCAGCTGGTATAGTACCAGATGAATATGATCTCGCAGCGAAGACCCCGTAAGGAGTCTCGCCGTGGCATTCTGCACCCGCTGGAGTTTCTGGGTCAGTCTCAAGGGCAGCCCCACGTAGAGCGAGTTACAATAATCCAGTCTGGAGGTGACCGTCACATGGATCACAGTGGCTAGGTCAGGGCGAGAGAGATAAGGAGCCAACTGCTTAGCTTGGCGGAGATGAAAAAATGCCACCTTTGTTATAGCTGTAATCTGCGCCTCCATAGAGAGGGAGGTATCGAAGATTACACCCAAACTCTTAACGGACGATGCTGGCACTAATTGCACCCCCGCAAGAGATGGGAGTTGCCCCCTCAATCCCATATCGCCCCGTCCCAGCCAGAGGACCTCTGTCTTCGAAGGATTTAACTTCAACCGGCTCCCACGTAACCATCCAGCCACAGCTTCCAGACATCTGGTCAGTGTGTCTGGGGCCGAGTCAGGATGGCCATCCATCAACAGATAGAGTTGGGTGTCATCGGCATACTGATGGCAACCCAGCCTAAAACTCCGGACAAGCTGGGTGAGGGGGCGCATAAAGATGTTAAAAAGCATCGGGGAGAGAATTGCACCCTGAGGTACTCCACACACCAAGGAGTGGCGCGATGACAATTCCCCCCCAAGCGCCACCCTCTGTCCCCGACCAGAGAGAAACGAGCGCAGCGATTGAAGGCCTGTGCCCTGGATCCCCACGTCGGCAAGGCGGTGGTCCAGGAGTTCGTGATTGACCATGTCGAAGGCTACTGACAGGTCTAGAAGAATCAGCAGCCCCGACCCGCCTCGATCCAGCTGCCTGCGGAGATCATCTGTTAGGGTGACCAGAGCTGTCTCGGTCCCATGACCAGCGCAGAAGCCAGACTGGAATGGATCGAGAGCCGATGTTTCATCCAGAAACCTACCAAGCTGTTCAGCCACCACTCTCTCAATCACCTTACCCAGGAATGGAAGATTCGAAACTGGGCGGTAATTGGATAGATCTACAGGATCTAATGATGTTTTCTTTAAGAACGGACGCACCACTGCCTCCTTCAGTTCCCCTGGGAATATCCCGGTGCCAAGGGACAAATTGATGATATCACCCAGGGGGGCCCGCACCTCGTCTGGACACGCTCTAATCAGCCAAGACGGGCACAGGTCAAGAGGACAGGTGGTGGGCTTTCCAGCTCTTAGGAGTCTGTCCACATCAGCTGGGGATATCCGGTCAAAGTGGTCCAATACTGGACCCGAGGACAGTCAAGGGGCCTCCAGTTCCTTTATTGTATCCAAATTGGCAGGGAGGTCATGGCGGAGCAACAGGACCTTCTCCGCAAAAAAGCTCGCAAATGCCTCACAGCTGTGTGTCAAATTGTTATTTAAATTTGGCTGTCCTTCAAGGGACGTTAAAGACCTAATTATACTAAATAATTGCGCCGGGCGAGAGCTAGCAGAGGCAATGGAGGCCGAGAAGTAGGACTTCTTAGCGGCCTTCACTGCCATCTCGTAGGTTTTCATAAAAACCCTATAAGATGTTCTTGAGGCTCCATCATGGGCACCCCGCCATACTCACTCTAGCTGTCTGAGGTCCCGCTTCATTTTCCGAAGCTCCTAGGTAAACCAGGGAGCCCGGTTTCTGCGGGGTCTCAGAGGGCGCCTAGGTGCGATCTCATCGATGGCTGCTAGGAGCTGGATATTCCAGCCCTCAACAAGCTCAGTCAATGAGTCGCCAGGGGGAGCAAGGTCCCGCAAGGCCTGATGGAATCTATCAAGGTCCATCAGCCTCTGCGGGCGAGCCCAAATTGGCTCGCCACCTAAGCAGGGTGGGGGTGGAAAATCAATCCTGGCTTTCAGAGCGTAGTGATCAGACCATGGCACCTTCATCGAAGGAGACATAATCACATCTATACCGACGCCAAAGATCAAATCCAGTGTGTGGCCTGCTTGATGTGTGGGGCCCAAAACAAACTGGGAGAGCCCTAGTGTCGCCATGGAAGACACCAGGCCCAGAGCCTGTGAGGAGGGAGTGGCATCAGCATGGATGTTGAAGTCCCCCAATACCAATAGGTTAGGGAACTCCAAGGCCCAGCCGGCCACCGCCTCCAGCAGGCCTGACAGGGTGGCTGCTGGTGCGCTAGGTGGCCAGTACACCAGCCAGACAGCCAAGCTCACCTCGGAGCCCCACACTAGGCCAACACATTCAATGCCGGGGATCGATGGCGATGGTAGAGCCTTGAAAGAACAATCTTCCCGGATTAATAATGCCACCCCTCCCCCCCGGCCCACAGTCCGCGACTGGTGGAGGATGGAGAAACCCGGGGGCGCCATCTCTCGTAAGGTAACAGTTTCCCCTTCGCGCACCCAGGTCTCCGTCACACAGGCCAGGTCAACCCCCTGCGAGGTGAAGAAGTCTCGCAGGGTGGCGGTTTTGTTGCCTATAGACCTGGCATTGCACAACACCAGTGACGGAGGTGAGTAATCCTTGCTCACCCTACCTTCGTCCCTCGGGATGGGGCTCAGATTGGAAGGGGTACGAGCATATCCGTATCTCGATCCCCTTCGCCTATGACATCTGCCCCCACCGCCATACCTCCCTCGCCCCACTACGGTAGCAATCCCAAGCCTCAAACCAACCTCCATTTACAAAATAGAAAAACAAATCAAACCAAAAACAATTGTACCAAACAAAACAAATCCCCACCCCACTCAATATCCAACCCCAAACCAAAATAAAACGGAACAAAATAAAAATACATCAATAAAAACCACCGTTCACGGTGGTACAACAAAGTAAAAAGTAAAAACCCCTTTAAAACACTTTAAAATATATAAAAACATTTGTTTATAACATATATTTATAAATAGCCGCAATATTGTTTCCACATTAAGAAAGGCCATCTGAATTTTTTCCTTGTATATAACTTGATAAAAGCAGAGAGTGCTCTGCTGTAATCCTATGTCTTTGTCTCGCATACAGGTGAAAGTGCAAAAGTTCATCAAGACGTTTCAGGTCAGTATCTTCTGAGTATGCTTTCATCAACAGTTCAACACCTTGCTTAATTTCTTGCTTAGATGCTGTCAAATTAGCAAGAATGGCAAACAATTGTGCAACATCACTGTACACAGTACTTAAAAAAAACAACTGGGTTCAAGTGCATCTGATATAGGAATAAAGGATTTTATCCTAAACTTATCTCTTGAAGAAAGTGCATCTAAGGCATCAGGTGCACTTCTGTCATTTATCTGCTGTTCCCTCACTCTTTGTCTCATTGTTTTGTAGTTGACATTTGGCAAGGTGGCTTTTGCTTGTTCTCAAGCTCATCAGAATCAACTCCAATTTTCCTTTTAAAATCCAGAAGTGAACTGTACAAACTTGCACAAGAACTCAATAACAGGTCTGATTTCTGAAGGGCTTTGTTGACCTTGTGAAAATGACCTAGCACACCGGTCCAAAAAGGCAGCATAAACACAGATTCCAGTTCTTCCGTTTTCTGCAAAAGATTGTTAGCTTGGAGCCTGGTCTCCCCCTTCCCATTAACATCAGAGTACAAATGACTGAGGGCATCAGTGATATCACTGTAACTTTCCAAAACAGCTTCTGTGGCTTTTGTGTGTGTGTTCCACCTGGTGTCTGACAAATATTTAGGCACTTTAGAACGAGGTGGCAAAAATGATTTTAGAACTGCCCATCTCTTTGTGGAGGATGAAAAGAAGCTATAAATTTCATTGACAATGTCAAAACTGTTCACTGCATCAAGGCAGCAATCCACAACTGAACGGCCCACCAGATTTAAAGAGTGACCTGCGCAAGGAATAAATTTTGCAAATTGGTTTTTTTCGATGATTTTTTGCTGCATACCATTGTACTTTCCAGCCATGTTGGCAGTGTTGTCATAAGACTGCCCATGGCATTTTCTAAAGTCTATTTCAAGCTCAATAGTGAAATAGTTGAACACAAAATCAGCCATGCTGTCTCCTGAGTGGTCTTTTGGCTAAAGGAAAGTTAAAAATCTCTCAGTTGGCAAACCATTTTCAGATGATACATATCTGATAATTAAAGTCAACTGATCAGTATGTGAAATGTCAGGAGTGGAATCTACTGAAAGGCTGAAATATCCAGCCTTTCTCACATCAGCCAGAATTGCATCCTTAACTTTTTTTGCCATGAGTTGAATAATTTCCTCACATATAGTTTTTTACAAAGAAGAGGGATTGTCTGATCCAGAATGTCCATAACGATTGATATGAGCAAGTAAAAATGGATCAAATTTTGCCACTAGTTCTAAAAGACCGAGATAATTGCCATTATTTGGAGATCCAAAGTGTTCATTGTCTCCTCTGAATGGTAAGCCTTGTTCTACAAGAGTGCATATTACAGCAATAATTCTTTCCATGACATGCCGCCAGTATAGTTGCTCTGCTTTTATTTGTTCCTCTAGCTTGGAAGTTAACGTTTGCCCGCACTTCCTTGTTAGGTAGGCCAACGTGGCATTCCTATGGTTCTCTGAGTTTTCATGACTTTGGGTAAGAGGGGTATTCCCCCCCCCCAGTCATCAAATCCACAGCTAAAGCTGTGGAAGAAGATGCAAGGCCTGGAAAAGAGCTCTTGTACTAAACCTGGACTGCTTTTTGTACACTTGTTTGGAATCTGAAAATGGTCCACAATGATGCAGAACTTGAGAAAGACCACTCTCTACTCAATAGGATACTTCCTCATGTGATAATTCTGACCACAAACCAATATCTGTTAGTAGGTCTATATTTGGCACCATCTTTATCTGCATCTGGAACACCTTGGACTACTATCGTATCAGGCGTGAACTGCAAAATCTGACTATTCACATTCTTTTCTTGTGGCTCTTTAGCCTCTCCCTGCCCAGTAAGTGACTCTTGAATTACAGTGGTACCCCGCAAGACGAACGCCTCGCGAGACGAAAAACTCGCAAAACGAAAGGTTTTTTCGTTTTCGAGTTGCCTCGCAAGAAGAATTTCCCTATGGGCTTCCTTCGCAAACCAAAGCTTGCCCAGGGGACAGCGGGTCTTCTCTTTTGAAGCAAGGGGCGGCGGGGAGAAGCGATCTTCTCCCCGCAGCCCCAGGTCCGGGGACAGCGGGAAGCGCCTCCCGCTGCCCCCGGACCTCTTTTGAAGCAAGGGGCTGCGGGGAGATCGCTTCTCCCCACCGCCCCTTGCTTCAAAAGAGGTCCGGGGACAGCGGGAAGCGCTTCGCGCTGCCCCCGGACCTCTTTTGAAGCAAGGGTTTGCGGGGAAAAGCGATCTCCCCGCAGCCCCTTGCTTCAAAAGAGGTCCGGGGGCAGCGGGAAGCGCAGCGCTTCTTCCCCGCTGCCCCCGGACCTCTTTTGAAGCAAGGGGCTGCGGGGAGATCACTTCTCCCGGTGCTCCGAAGCCGGGCGGGGGGAGGGAACACCTGCCCCCACCGCCCGGCTTCGTAACGCTGCTCTGAAGCGGGGCGGGGGGGCGGGAACACCTGCCCCAGCCGCCCCGCTTCGGAACGCTGCTCCGAAGCGGGGCGGGGGGGCGGGAACACCTGCCCCAGCCGCCCCGCTTCGGAACGCTGCCCCGAAGCAGGGCGGGGGGGCGGGAACACCTGCCCCGCCGCCCCGCTTCGGAACGCTGCCCGAAGCGGGGGGGGGCGGGAACACCTGCCCCAGCCGCCCCGCTTCGGAACGCTGCCCCGAAGCGGGGCGGGGGGGCGGGAACACCTGCCCCAGCCGCCCCGCTTCGGAACGCTGCTCCGAAGCGGGGCGGGGGGGCGGGAACACCTGCCCCAGCCGCCCCGCTTCGGAACGCTGCTCCGAAGCGGGGCGGGGGGGCGGGAACACCTGCCCCAGCCGCCCCGCTTCGGAACGCTGCTCCGAAGCGGGGCGGGGGGGCGGGAACACCTGCCCCAGCCGCCCCGCTTCGGAACGCTGCTCCGAAGCGGGGCGGGGGGCGGGAACACCTGCCCCAGCCGCCCCGCTTCGGACCGCTGCCCCGAAGCGGGGCGGGGGGCGGGAACACCTGCCCCAGCTGCCCCGCTTCGGAACGCTGCTCCGAAGCGGGGCGGGGGGGCGGGAACCTCTCACCCCGCCGCCGGGCATCGGAACGAGGTCCTGGACCTCTTCTGAAGGCAGGCGGGGGCAAAAGTCTTTGCTCCCCCCGCCTGCCTTCCCGGGACAGCGGAGACTTCTCCGCTGCCCCGGGCGATCTTAAAATGCTGGCGGGCGGGAGCGAAGCGTTCGCTGCCGACCCCCAGCATTTTAAAATCTCCTCGGGGCAGCGGAGACTTCGCTCCCGCCCGCCAGCATTTTAAAATCGCCCCGGGACAGCAGGGGCTTTTAAAATGCTGGCGGTCGGCAGCAAAGCCCTCCTGTCCCCGGAGCTTGCGGGGCGGGAGGTGGGAAGAAGGGCTTTTCTTCCCACCGGCAGCCTTCAGAACAGCCTTCTGAAGGCTGGCAGTGGGAAGAAAAGCCCTTGTCCCCCCCCCCCCAGCCTTCAGAAGAGGTCGGGGGACAGACTGTCCCCGGACCTGGTCTGAAGGCGGTTTCCCTAGGAACGCATTAATTGATTTTCAATGCATTCCTATGGGAAACCGTGCATCGCAAGACGAAAAAACCGCAAGACGAAGAGACTTGCGGAAAGAATTAATTTCGTCTTGCGAGGCACCACTGTAGTTCTATATTTTCAGTTTGAGCTAGTATCATGGCTGCTTCCTCATAATCAGCTTGCTGTTCCACATCCTGCTTCATTGTTCCTCTTTCAGGGAGGTTTTTGTCTGGTTGAATGCTTGTAGTTGGTTCAGACTGAATAGCTTCACTGAGTGGTTTATGCACGAAAGCAGTGATTGGTCTTAACTTCATTATCATAGCATTTTCGAGTCTCTGTATCTTGCGCTTGTTAGCACCACTTTCAAATCTTTTACTCATGCTTAGATTAGAATCTAAAAATAAAAATAAAAATTAATCTTCAACTGGATAAACTTGGGCTTCTGTCACTCTTCAGTAGCTGCCACCACTCACTGACTTCCCTAAGCCTTTTTTGAGGGGCAGTGAGACCCCTCTGGCTGACTCCTGGGGTTTGGAGATGTTTGGGTTTCTCCTGGAGGGCTGGCACTTGCACATTTTTGGGCTTTTCCCCTGCCAGGACCCTTCTTAAGGCACTGGTAGTGGGCAGGTTGGGAGAGACTCTGGTCACAGCACCAGACTGGGCTTTAAACAAAGAACAAATAGTTTCTTGACTATCTGCAAGTAACCGGATTTTAAACACAAAAGGCAGTTTAAATTAAACACAGAAAAGGAAAACACCACTGGGCACAAATAAAATAAGACAAAACGCATTTCCTCTGACCCTGAACTGACCCCTATACAGTGGTACCTCGGTTTAAGAACAGTCCGGTTTAAGAACGATTTGGTTTACAAACTCCGCAAAACTGGAAATAGTGTCTTGGTTTGAGAACTTTACCTTGGTCTAAGAATGGAATCCAAACGGTGGAAGGGCACCGGCGGTGGAAGGCCTCATTAGGGAAAGCGTAGAACGGTTTTGGTTTAAGAATTGACTTCCAGAATGGATTTAGTTCGTAAACTGAGGTAGCACTGTACTTATTTTCCCTTGGGAAGAGGTCCAGTTACCAACCTGCAGCCTGGCCTCCTCCCTTCTACAGGTAGTCCTGGATCTCTCTGAGGATCCCATCCTACCACTGGTGGAGAAAGCAGGGTGCGGTCCACCTCGGGTGTCATCCCTGAGGGGCGACTGCTGCGGGCAGCGCCCCCCTGGGAAGCTTGCCACCACTTGCTAGTCTCAAGGACAGTGTTTCCGGAAATGATACTACTGTTTTGTGATAGTCTTCATCAGCTGAAAACACTGTCCTTGAGACTTTTGGGATGCCTTCTGTTGGAACTTTTGAAAAACATTTGAGAAAACCTTACTTTTTAGTCTTTTGAGACGTCTTTTGTTGAAACCTCTGAATAACCATTGTGAGACTGACCTTTGATGCCTATCTTGAACACATGGCTTGACGTTCTGTGCCACTAGTCTGTTACATTGTCTATATGAACTCCAATAGATTTATTTCTACCTTTTGATTTATATCATTATTCTATTACATAGGATTTAACAGTTATTAGCCTATGTGTTGTGCCTATATTTCTGTGATTGGTTACCTGCTTTCAGCAATATGGGTCACTGTTTGGTAGTACCCGATTGGTTAGCTGTCAGATTCTAGAGCTCCCTATTGGTGGCTTTTTGGTAATTCACAAAATACAGAGTCCATTCATGAAGCAGTAACATAAATCTCCATTGGTACATATTGGGTGTATATTTCAGCGGCTGAACGTACAGTGGCACCTTGGGTTACAGATGCTTCAGGTTACAGGCTCCGCTAACCCAGAAATAGTACCTCTGGTTAAGAACCTTGCCTCAGGATGAGAACAGAAATCGTGCTCCGGCGGCATGGCAGCAGCAGGAGGCCCCATTAGCTAAAGTGGTACCTCAGGTTAAGAACAGTTTCAGGTTAAGAACAGACCTCCGGAACGAATTAAGTTCTTAACCCAAGGTCTCAACTGTACAGGTTTATGGCCATGCTGTAGTGTAATGCTTATGTGACTGTGAATAAAAGGTGGCTGGGCTCGTCGTCTTGGGATTTTTAGGAAAACTGATTTCCAATAAGTGCCCCCCCATTTCCATAACAACTCATTGAGTTTGTACTCTGAATAGTGGCACCAGGGACCTAAAGGGGCAGGACTTGTCAGTCCAACCCCTGCACAGTCTCATCTGGGCTGGCCTTAAGGCAATTGGGCCAAATTGGGCCTCATGGGCCACTCCTAAGGGGCCTCCCGCACCGGGGCAATCTAGATGGATTTTATTTATATCTCTAAGATTCTGCAGACTTCAGCTGTGAACTGGGCCCTACAAAAAAAATTCAAGTTCGGCCCAGAGTCTCATAGCTGTTGGCCCTCGCTGCCCTGCCCTCGCATGAAGTCTTGGGTTTGCAATTATGAGAGAGGGGAGACTGTGGCACGGGGGAGCCGGCGGGCTGGGAAGGCCCCCTAGATTTAGAGGCCCTAGGCCCTTAGCCTATACATAAATCCGGGACTGCTGGTGGCAACCAAGTCTGGAACCAACCCACAGTGGCTGAAAGTTTTCTACCCAACAGCACTAGTTCTTGGACCGCAAATGAAAAACAGCAGGCCTAGAGAGAAATAGCAGGAATTTTATGATAACATGTGGCTTTGGGATTGCATGTAATGATCTTTCTTGAGGTAAAGAGAATTCAAGAAAGGAAAACAAGGAATCATTAACACACACACCCTGCCGCCCTGAAAAAAATCCTGCCTGTTTTGAAGCTAAACATCTCTGCAATCATCAGCTGATATATTAAACAAACTGCAAATAATCATTT